TAATTAAAATTTTCGATATTTTTCCTTTCGACCAAACTACAGCACACCGGAAAAATATCGAAAGGGAAAATGTCGAAAAAAAGAAGGGAAAAATGTCGAAAGAAAAAATATAAAAGAGGAAAAATGTCGAAAAGCAAATATTGAAGTGGAAGAATATCGAAAAACAATGATGTCTCTAGTTAATGGTGACTCTAATACGTCTAGTTCATTGTTGCTTTTCTTATAATTCTACTATTGTAGAATTTTAACCAGTAGTACTGGTGATGACTGATACCTGATATAAATTAAATAAAAGAGTTGAACGAAGAACTATTATATAACTAAAATTCTATTGTCATGGCTGAAGCTGCTGCATCTTCAGCTGATGTAACTCAACCAAAATCTCCAGCTATATCATTTATAAATTTAAATAAAGGAAAACCTCTACTCATAACAGATGAATATGTTTTCAAATTGAATAAAATAATAACTACTAAGTAATTGGATGCGTATGCTTAATGGATGTTCAGCTAAAGTGCATATTGATTTAAATAGTTAATGGATTAAAACAATTGGTGATCATAACCATCTTCTAGAGAAAAAAAAACTTGAAGTTCGTGAATTTCGTGAAAAAGTCAAACAAAAAAACAATAAATAAAACAACACCTATTCCATGTATGTTTTATTTAGCATTTCAGACTCGTTTTAATCGTCGAGTACGAGTTAATCATCCAAATATTTGATCATTCATAAAGTTTCTACAAGGAGAAGAGAATCGTTTTCATCATATGTATGCTCAGGTTACTGCAGGCTTAGGGGCTAGACCAAAACAAGCTAAAACAATTACTCTTCAAAGTTGTATAGATAATCTTGGTGAACGATATTATGACGGTGCCATAAATGCTATGGAATAATTGGATGGTTTATCACTCACAGTTGCGAAGTGGAAAAAATGACACATTACTTTTTTTTTCATCATCTATATTTGATCACTGTTAGAATGTTAAAACTAGCTCATATAATAAAACATGTTCTTTACTATTCATAACTCTCTAAAACATTTACCGACTATTTTTCATGTCAACGTTGTTTTTTCGACATTTTTACGGCCAACCGAAGGTTCATCACTGTGATATGAAGCTACAGCTTCACCGATGTCCAACGAATTTCGTTCAACGTTCACAAATGAATAACATAACCAGATATTTGTTGTTCATTGACAATCTGTGCACGAATCCATGGTTGAAGATCGAAACATCATACAAAATGTTCATTTTGAATATCGTGCTTATCCGACATATATACCGTATTTTGTAAAACTTCGAAATGCTAATTAATATCCGCTGTTTTTCAAAGATGATCCTTATTTATTTTCTTGCTGTGAATAAAAAAGTTAAAGGCCTAGTATAGTGCTTTAATATCACTACATTAGGTACAATAAAAAAAAATCCACGAAGAGGTATGACCTATGATAAAAGTGCCAACCCCTTTGTTTGGGAGTGAAAACAGATGGATACAAGCAAATAGATGTCTTACAAAAATAAAACATCCTTCTCAATCTGTCATTTTTTTACATAGAAGAAAATCCTTTCGCTGTGTACATGGATAAATACGAGAATGTTGTAGGATTATCTCCATTATTAATTTTTTTCGTTTGCAATGGTGGCTGCACTACTATGTGCTGTAGCTCTCACTACTAAAGGTACTTTATTAATTTCACTTCTTCTTAAAACTAAATCGCTCAGTTTTGCTTTCTTGTAGCTCACATAACAGCTTGGTTCAAAGGTATATACTGTCTGAAAGTACGTCAGCAAAAATTACTCAATCGAAAAAAAAATTGTTTTTTTTAATTGATGTTATTTTGTAGGGGCTTCCAGGACAAGATGATTGGGATAACAATTTACCCATGAGCCTCGAATTCATGTTGAGTAGTGTCTATCAAGATCGATTGAATCAATTTAATCATTTGCACTTGTTGAATTCGAATGGTGTTTCTGATGAAGCTTATCTACATATACTCACGAGGGAACCTTTTCAACTGTCCAATCGCTTTTGAGTTCGAACTCAGTGTGAAAGATAGACCCCAGTGAGGTATGAAAAGGCCCAAAAGGATAAGTGCCCATAGGCCTTCTGTCCAGAGTTATAGGCATTTTACTGGATTTTTAGCCTATGGCACAGTATATACCAAAAAATCGAATGACAATATTTCGAGCTGAGATTTCGTCCAACGATAGGTCTATGTACCAATAGAATGCCCTGAAAATTTCAGCTCAAAAGAATGTTTCAATCTCGGGATATTAAACTCCCAAAAATCACGCATATCCCGCGAATGATGCTAGAATTTTTTGGCTTTTGGGTGTTCAATATCTCGAGATTGGAACATTCTTTTGAGCTGAAATTTTCAGGGCATTCTATTGGTACATAGACCTATCTTTGGACATAATCTCAGCTCGAAATATTGTCATTCGATTTTTTGGTATATACTGTGCCATAGGCTAAAAATCTAGTAAAATGCCTATAACTCTGGACGGAAGGCCTATGGGCACTTATCCTTTTGGGCCTTTTCATACCTCACTGGGGTCTATCTTTCAAACTGAGTTCGAACTCAAAAGCGATTGGACAGTTGAATAGGTTCCCTCGTCAACCATTTGAGACAGGCCATGCCTAAACTATTGCTGATGTTACATATCACGGCTTGTCCAAACGTAACGCTGTTACGTTTTTGATATACTCTTCTCCAACTTTCTCGAAAAGTTTAAGAGCTAGGAAGTTCGTTCAAACGTCATTCGACGCAGCTTATCGAACTTCATTTATCATATAAAAATGACCTTTTTTGATTGAAGTCTCAGGCATCTAGAAATGTTTTATCATGGCGTAACGCTGTTACATAAAAGGACCCTTTTTTTCCAGTGCCACTGAGAAAACTCTAATTTCTTGCGAAATCATTTCTTTAAATGTAATGCTCCAAGAATCACTTTTGTAGAGCATTGAATAGACTTTCAGGCAGTAAAAAAGATTTTCTCTAAAACATTTTTGTTCAAATAAAAAATGCAAAAAACAAACGTAACGCTGTTACATTTTTCGTAACGCTGTTACACAGTTTTTTGTTGACCAATTTTGAGGCACTTAGTGTACTCGGAATTACTTGATTTTTATAATTGTTACTGTTTTATAAGTAGACAATCTCCTCTGCAAAAATGAGATTGATTCATCGATCTGAGAGCTTATAAACTGGGCAGGAAGTTGGAAACTTTATCGAAGCTTTCAATCCATTCTAAGCTACCAAAGTCAAAACTAAATAGACCATTTTGTAGAGAATTTAATTCTGCATCGAATGGTATGTCTCTTAGCCCTTGTTAAAAAAATTTCTTGGTTAAAAAGTCCAAAATACGGTTTTTGAAAACTTTAAAATCCGATTTTGGATATCAGAATCTGATTTTTGTGCTAAATCAATATCAAATTCGTAATCAGCGTAAAAAACTGCATCTAATAGTCTAATGAGATCTGTCCAACTCGAAAAAAAATTTTTTCAAAACTTGATCAGCGAAGTGTCGCGTTACGCGGACAAGCCGATCATCAAAGATATGACGATTTCGTTTGCTCCTGAGCGAACCATCCATTTCATGCAATTACTTACTTCATTACCAAGTATTCGTCAGATTATATTATACAAACCTACTTTTCTGTTGGCGCTAAAATCTGTTGTTCGTACTCTTGAACACGTATATTTTACGAAGTGTGCAATTTCACAAATGCACGAATTATATAAATATCTGGGTGTGAATGTGGCTGTGTTGATGTGGGTGTGGACGTCACAGGGGGAAACGACTGACTTAAGTGACTTTTAAATCATAAAAGTCAAAATAAAGTCACGAAAGTAAAAAAAGTCATGATAATCATAACTAATCCTTTTAGACCGAATGTTTCCATTTTAAAACATTTTGTCCTATAGGGGTACGGCATTTTTGAAATAGCCGGCCGGAAGAGCTAAAGTAACATTAATAAAGAACAAAAAATAACGAATTTTTGTCAAGGGAGAAACGACTGACTTAAGTCACTTTAAAGTCATGTTAACTCAAGTAAGTCACTTTAAGCCAGTTAAGTCAAGAAAGTCATTTTAAGTCAAAAGAAGGGTGTGGGTGTGGGTGTTCCTTTTGTCTTTAATCGCACCCACGCTCCACTTTTATATCGATAATTCTGTAACGGATTTCTTATCAATACGCAATCGATTGGCAAAAAACAATCAAAGCCAAATAAAGTCGATGCAATACGTCGTACAAGGCACATGTCTTTAAAATTTGAAGAAGCATAATCTATTTAAAAATTTCGTTGATACGTGGTAAAAAAATTGTATATTAGTTTACAAATCAATCGTATTTTGTTCCGTGTAGTTCTACAGAGACTAGACGAAATAAAAGTAAAGAAATCTATAGCTGAATTACAGCAAATAGATGGAAATGAATCAATATGTGTAAAATTGTTTACAATGAAGAATAAGATCGTGGGTGTGAGGTTGAACTTGGGCTGTGAGTTTGGGCATTGCTGTGCATGGTGTCAATATAGGTATTGGTCGTCTCTTCGCTCTTATGCACATCCACACCCAAAATGATTTTGAGCAAATGATAGATATGTTTGCAAATAATCACGAGAACAATAGGATCATTTTATATTAGTATCAACTTTTCGTGGTTTTTTTAATAATAAAGATAGTATTGCTAAAGACTTTTTTTTTCATGAAGAATTCAACAATTATTCCAGACTATTTATTGCTCTGTGAAACATGTATCCAACAAATATAGATTAAACACATACGATTTGTCTCATGAAAAATGCCTTTATTGCATTTTCAGTGTTTCCAAAATAGATGGGTTCATATTTATTATAAAATATAAACTTTATTGGAAAGAATCAACTGCATAATTATTTAGCTACAGCCTAAAGTATTACACATTAAAGTTGAGAAGGAGTAGAACAAGGATTTTAATCAGAAGAATTTCGTGATGAAATAGTTTCCGATGTGTGTTTGTACGCTGATTCCAAAAATCATGTTCATTTTCAATAAAAAAAAAACAACCTTTGATAATCATAATCTAGAAAAATGACCCGATTTTTTGAGTCTTTGACATGGGAGTGGTCCTATTTTAAGAATGATTACTAATACTGAAAAAGTATAATGTCAAATTGTGTTATGTCATATCTTCACTAGGGGTGGCACTTTATCTTTATTTTACTTTGAAAAAGTAAAGTAAAGTAAAGTTCTATACTTTACTTTACTCGGTAAAGTAAAGTTGGGTCACTTTGCTTTACTGGGTAAAGTAAAACTCGACAAGAATATTTTTCACAGATGGATAAAAATAACATACTTTCTCAACTTTACTTTTTGCAAATAAAGTGGTAAAGTACTTTACTTTACTTGTTAAAGTAAAGATAAAGTGTCACCCCTAATCTTCACATCACTCGCAATCGAAAAATACTTAAAAAGCAAAAGAAA